AAATGCCGCCGGCCGCTGAACATCTGGAAGTACAAGCCCTTGGTGTCTGTGGGACAGAGAGACCCAAGGGCAGGGAAATTGGGTCTGTCTAGAGGAGCCAACTCCGTAAGAGCTTTTCCTTCCAGGAGTGGGGCTTGGGGATGAGTCCCACTTTTTACGTTTGAGGAGTTCTCCAAAAGGCCATCCCAACCTTTGCCAAAGCACCACTTCCCTCACGCGGAACCTCTTCCTACACGCGAATGCCCCCCTCCTTTGGACAGTACCCGCTCTTGCTCCTTCCCTCACCTCCCTGCCCTCCATTTCACACCACGCTATACTGACAGTTGAGGATGGCCGATCTCTTCCACGGCCGGCTGCCACCCGAATTCTCATCCCGCAGCCGAGGGGAAAGACGGCGGCAGATCCGCTGCCAGACCCCCTCGCTGTCACAGACTTCGTAGAAATACCGGCAGGTCTGGCCGAGAGCCACCAAGTCCCTTACTGGCAGGAAGGAGATGATGTAGTACAACTGGAAAATGAGTGGGACTCAGTCAAGACGGGTCCCAAACTTTTCCCGAGCCCAGCCTATCCATCCCTGCCCCTTCTCCGGCCCAGATTCACCCACCAGTTCAGGAGGGAAGATCTGGATAGAGGCGGAATCTCCTCTGGTGTTCTTATCCTCCGTGGTCTCAGTAGATGAGCTGCGCCGTTTCTTCTTGGGCTGCTGTAGGCGGAAGAGAGAAGCCAGGGGAGCCATGAATCCCCTTATCCCGGGGCTCTCCTGCAAGGAGGCGAGCGGGACATTGTCCCAAGGGATCTGAAGTGCCCTTAACAGCTACTTGACAGCCAGAAGTTCAGTGGGCAAAGATCTTTCCTGGCATGCAGTGTACTGCTGGTGGATTCACAGCTGACATGCTCTTGGAAAAGCCGAAGAAGAAATAGGAAGCGTCCACCTCACTCCTGCTACTTCTAAAGCTCCAAGACAAGGCTCACGACCTCCAATGAAGAGCTCTTGGACCTTGCACAAATCTCTGATTCCCCAGGTTTCTTCATGGAAGCAACCATAAGTAATTAAGCCAAAAGGAAACTGGTTTCTTGGCCAGATAAAGGGAATAGGAATGCAAAATTCTAGGTGCATTTCCTAAACTGTGCACCAGGTGGCAGAACTGACCATCTTTAAAGGTAAAGAGGTAACTCAGAAAACCTTCCTTACATGTGAATATTTGATGCTGTAAAGTGATTCTACTTCCTTATAGCTGATCCATAAGACTTTTTTGCATGCTTAGGACAACAAGTTGACATTTTTTTGCAGTTGCTTTCTTGTATTGATACTTGGACTTAAAAACATTTTGAAATGAGGCTAGTCGAATTTGCCAAATCCCACATCTGTCTGCTTTTCAAGCTTTTTGCAAAACATTGTGAATCACAGCACTGACTGACTAAGGGTAACAACATTTTCTACAAAATTCAATTTCTATGGAGTTCTCCAGCTTTAAAGAAAGTAGATAAATGCTGGTAAATTAATTTGCATATGCAAACAAGGAATGGGATAAGTGGAAATTCTGCATGCCAAGCTCAGAGAGAAAGCCCCTCCCTTGTTGAGCATTTTCCTGGCCCCTTGGAAGCATTTCCTCACATCCCCTTTTCCATGCCCTGTGGTCAAAATGTATGCTCACTCCAAGTGGCTCTTCAGTGCTAGAGATGTGGGAGAAGCGCTGGGGCTTTCTCCTCCTGAATTTTCGGGTGATGCGCCTGTCGCTCATGTCTGCCCGCCCAGCCGTAGACTGTGCGGTGGGTGTGAGCTCTCAGACCCACCCTTGTTGCTGGGCCCAGCATGGCCAAGGCTTTTGAATGCCTCTGCCCACAAAGTCTATCACCCTGGGGGACATAGCACTATGTGATAATGGCCGTCCTGATGGCTTCACAGAGACTGGGTTTCCCCTGGTAACTGGGGCACTGTGACATCAGCACCCATCTGGGACATGCTTTGTGACCCGGACCCAGGAGATCCATCAAGTCTTCGGATCAAAGATCAGGCTGGGGCATGGATCTTGCAGAGAGCTCTGGCAGTCTGTACTCTGACTTTGCTTTCAAATTCTTGCATGCAGATGCTAAGGAACATGAAGTGGCAGGAACCAGAAGCCTCCTTGAAATCATAGTGAGTTTTCTCTTTAAGAACTCTTGACCAAGCTGTTTCTACCTTGCATTTGGACTTGTTGTTAAAACTGAAGGGTGACTGGATAAAAAGTGATCCATCACTTTGTTTCTTTTAATGTTTGTTTCATTGCAGACAGGGCTAATTGGTGTTGGGTGGAGTCATTGGGAGAGCTGTAGATTCGTACAGGGTCATTTTGGGGGGATAGAGGGAATTGAGTAATTAGGAGGCTTATTTTTTAAAGCTTCCCAAGAAGACACCGTGGCAATATTTGCATTTGTCAAAATGGTACTAAAAAGTGATCAGAAAGAACAGCTGGGTCTTCCCTTACTGAGTTCAGCTTCAGATGAAAAGCTCGGCCCACCCACTAGATTCCCTTCCTTGGCAGAGAATTCAGGAACTCTGGAGCCTGCCAGGGTTCTAACCAGAATCTTATTCCAGAGAACGTTAAGTGCCCAGGCTCTGAGCCACTTTGGTGCTTCCCACCTTCTCCGCTGGTCCCCAGGCCTCATCCACTCACCACCAGATGCTGGCACTCTGTGCTTCCTCATCAATCGTTTGACTTGCTAATGCTTTGCTGCAATTCCCAGGGGTCCAACATGGGCTGGAGTTTTACCTTCGGTGGGCAGCGGCAGCAGTAGTTCTGAGGAGAGGAAGGCCACTGACACATGAGGAAACACAGCTAGGGGAAGGAAAAGTGACTTACTATACGCAGTTGCCACTGTTAGGGTTAGAGCCATGTCAGCCTATAGAAGCCATACGTCAGCAGGAGTCTGGCAGCCCCTTTTCGGACTAACAAAAAAATGTTATTAAAAGGCCTCAGCTTTCATGAACTGCAGCTCACTTCATCAGATGCAGTCTCCTACGGGTACAAGTCTTAATAGTTGTGAGCAATTAAATCAATAATCACACTGTGACTTGAGCTGTACGGCACCATCCTCTAACCGCATCCCTACCTAAGCAGCCGCACATAAACCCCGGCCACCAATGTTCATAACCTCTTGTTTTCTCCCTCTATGTTCAATTTACAAGAACAACATGTCGCAGCACTCCTGCAGTGACAGGCAGACGAGGGTGTCCGGCTGTGTGGGTGGCAGCAGAAAGCACGCTCCTCTGAGCCAGCCACCGGGCGTGGGGCTGTGCCACAAAAGAGCCGAGCCTCCGCCTGGCCCTTTTCGCAGCCAGAGGAAGAATTATCCACTGATTGAGCGTGCCCTTGTGGCATAATAGAGGTTTCTCCCACTTAGCGGCGCATTAGATGGCGACACCCAGCATTTCCAGCCGCCATTCACAGGATGCTGGGAATTACCGTCTAAAGCGGGTTTCTCACCCGTGGCAACTTCAGGACGGGTGGACTTCAACGCCCAGAATTCCCCAGCCAGCACACTGGCCTAAAGCAGCAGGGAGGCGCCCAGGAAGGGAAGCTGAGAGCCATGGGGTCCATGTGGCTGGCTGGGGAATTCTGGGAGTTGAAGTCCGCCCGTCTTCAAGTTGCCAAAGTTGAGGAGCGCTGGGGCAGAAGACCTCTGGGTTTCCTTCACGGTTCCTTGAAATGCTTCAGAAAAGTTGCCTAGTAAGAGGCTGGAACCGGGAATTTCCGCTCCTTTTGCAACCAGCGTAGGAAAGACGCTCATAAAATCACGGGCAAGCCCGCAATGTTCG